CTTGGAGGTATTTAAAAGGTGTGTAGATGCAGTGATTAGGGACATGGTTTAGTGGTGGACTTGGTAGTGTTATGTTAACGGTTGGACTCAGTGATCTTAAGGGTCTTTTCCAACCTAAATGATTCTATGATTGTGAGAGGAACTGCTGGTTCTGCCAGGGCATTGGACAATTCCTTCAAATGGTGTAGTCTTGGATTTGACTGTACTGTTCTTTGCAGATTGTTTTAATTTGAAGTCTGATAATATTTGTACCACAGTGTTTATTGCTAGTTCTATGGAATGAAATCAAGATTGTGTTGAAGGGAAGCGTGTGCTTTCACTTTGTACTTTCTTTGCTTTCTGACTCTCATGCTTGTATTGTCGTAACTTTGTTTCCTTCTTTTCTACTTAATCTCTGTGTTCTGTGATGGCTAAAGCACCTCTGAGCTTACATTTGCATTTGTAAGTCAATGCATAGTATTGTACAGAACACTCCTTTATTAGGTAACTGTTCAAGGCCATGGACTTGAATAGTTCTGTCAGTCCTACTAGCTGGGGTGATCTGTGTACCATACTAAGTAAGTTCTTGGAGACTTGCATGTGTGGCTTTTCCATAGGGTGATATTCTTTCATGTGAAAGGATTTATATCCTTTGTGTGAGTAGTTTTGAAACACTTTTGTGGATTGTGTCTTCGGACTAGTTAGGTTAGACAGGTTTTTCCCTATTGGTAGTATGTACTGTATCTAAATTTTAGAAAAGTTATGCTGAAGAGTAAATATTTAATTTTGAACAGGAGAAAATATGTGTTTTGCTTAACCTCAGTTGATGATCTGTCTGTGCCTAAGGTACAAAGGATTGAAGGCTTTTGTAACAGTAACTTTAAGTTACTGAAAAGATTTTTCAGAGTCTTCTTTTGTGTGCTAGCTTAGCACATCCGTAATATTGGTGGAGATAGGTTTCACTGAATTCCATATGAATTGTTCATATTTATAAATGTTTATTAATTTAATTGTTCTGCTTTAGGCTGCTTTTATCCGTGATGTTATGATGCCTGGTGAATGGGATGTTTGTGTTACGTCATATGAAATGGTAATTAAAGAGAAATCGGTCTTCAAAAAATTTAACTGGAGATACCTGGTAATTGATGAAGCCCACAGAATAAAGAATGAGAAGTCTAAGGTAAACTCAAAATTATTTGATACTTTGAAGATAGTTTGACACAAAAGATTCCATCTAATTTTAGCAGATTTTAAGTGTGAGCTGTGGTGGGGGAGGTGTTTGTGTGTGTTTTGTTTTGTTTTTTCTTTTTAAAATATAAACCATAAGTGGTTAATATGGTAAAGTGGTAAATATGAATTTCTTAGGTAGCTCTCTGTCTTTACATTTAGTTGACATTACTTCAGACTTCAGAAACTGATGAAAATTCATTATGCTTAAATGTACATGATGATGATAACTATTTGTTGATTCCTAGCTGTCAGAGATTGTACGTGAGTTCAAGACAACAAATCGATTGCTGCTTACAGGAACTCCTTTACAGAATAACCTCCACGAGCTGTGGGCATTACTCAATTTTCTTTTACCTGATGTCTTCAATTCTGCAGATGTAAGTTGACGTTTGAAAGTACAGTCTTGTTCTTGTTATTTTGATTCTCAGGCTTCTATCTGCAGAAGAGAAGAATGACCAGCCTAATAAGAGACACATGATGTGGCAGACCTGGATTCAGTAGAACCTCGGTGGCTTATCTAACTGTAGACTACGTTTTTTGCTCTACCTAGTTAAAACGGTGTATTCTGTTAGTCCATGTAAGGTCCCAAGCCAGTAATAGCAAATGTAATACTTTAAATAGTTCAGGAATTATGCAAACTGGAATAAAATTTGGGAAACGAATGCAGAATGAAGAATATGAAGCATCCAAATAGGCATAAGCCTTTTTTTCATTTAGAATTCAAGTAATCTTTCTCCTCTTCTACTGTTAATGTTTCCTTGTACTTGTATTGCTTGCTTCCATTGTTTTTGCTCTGTTGTCCGTTACTTAAGGAATCTGGTTTCTTTTTGTTTTTTTACTTTCTTGCCCCATCATTACACAAGCACTAAGGGGAAGAACTTGGACACTGCTGTGAGGAGCATGGAAAACCATTGTAAATTTAGCAAAGTAGTAGTATTTTGTCTGCGGAGTTACTCTGTTGACTTGAATGTTATAACGTGCTGCGGAGCTGGCACAGAATTACAGACTAATTTTGCTTTCACTCATAGAAGTAATTTGTCTCAAGATTTATGCCACTCTCAGCTGGAGTGAAAGGGAGTCAGTATGTGTCTGTTAAAACGACAGACAATAAACTGTTCATACCAATTCTGCTGTTTCTCACCACAGGATTTTGACTCATGGTTTGACACTAAAAATTGTCTCGGTGATCAGAAGCTTGTAGAAAGACTTCATGCTGTAAGTAGTTAAAGCTGTAATCATGTGTTATCGTTAGCATGCACAGTGTAAAAAAGAGGAACAGGTAATTTCCCCCTTCATCTCAAAATTGAGAAAATGAATGTGAAGGTATTTAGTTGCAGAAGTGTCCAGCAGAATTTTCATGAGTTAAATATTGTAACTTACTATTCTAGATACTGCCCTTTGTAACATTACTGTTAGAAGCAGACAAAATCTATACATAAAGTATGAAAATGAAGAACTTTGGGATCTTTTTGAAATGATTTATTATTGTGACTAGTATACCAGTCTATGTGTCGTGCTGGTCTAAATAAAGGTATGCCTTTACCTTTGTTTTACTGTGCATGAGATAAAAGACATTTTTCATCATACAGTAACAAAACAAATCAGAAGGAAGTACAATATACATTGCTTATCTTTGAAATGTTGGTGTATTTTGTATATGCTGCTAGTGGAAATGAAACAGAGCTTATGTTAAAAGGTCATAAATAGATTTTATAAGCTTATGGGTTTGGCACTTGCTTAGGATAACAACTGGAATGAATACAGCAATCTTTATGTAGTGTTACGTATTTCTGTGTGGACTTAGCCTATTGGTGGACAACTTCATTTTGCAGACTTTAGCAGAATTTTTCTGAAGGAGTCACTATGACAGCAATAGATATTGATGAGTTCAGGATAAATATCAGCGAATTGAATCTGTTAATTTTGTATTTGAGGCAATCCATTTGATAAATTTATCTGTGGAAAAACTCTTTAATTTGTGTAGGTTTTGAAGCCATTTTTATTACGTCGCATAAAAGCTGAGGTTGAAAAGAGTTTGCCTCCAAAGAAGGAAGTAAAAATTTATCTTGGGCTCAGCAAAATGCAGAGGGAATGGTGAGTTATTTGCATCAAAGTAAGATTATTTTCTGATAAAGAACACTACAGCTCTTCACACTTTTTTTTTTTTTCTGGTAGTTGCATGTTAATACAGTCAGATGGAGAAGCCTATTTATAGCTGTCTTTGGGGCTTTTTTTAAAGATGCACAGGTTACAAAGAGCTCAGGAGGGGTAATGAAGAGGGTTAGGAGGAAGAAAGCAGAAACTTCTTTTCCTTCTTTAATTTTATTTGAAAGAATATATGCCTACTAAGTTTTCTCCTTTGGTCCAAGTATGTATGCACCAGTAAAAGTCTGAGCCACATACCCAGAAGGGATAGAAGAAACGGAGCCAGGTCAATGTAGCAGCTTCAGTCAAGTAAATGATATCTTTAATCCACTTTGTAGTCCTAAAATAGAAGTGTAAGATAACTCAGTAAATGACAGATCGTTGTCACTCACAGACAAATTGCCTTTCATGTTTAGGTATGGATTTATAAATCCTTGTTATCAGTCAGACATTTTGGCAAAGTTTTGTAATACTATAGCTTGTTATTATATAAACAAAGCAATCTCCCATGTGCAGAAATAAGTAATTGGAATATCACAGGGTTTCGTTCACATCTTAAATATCAAATAAAACCTGAGAGTTGTTCAAAATTGCCTGTAAAACTTCAGGTATACAAGGATCCTCATGAAAGATATTGATATCCTGAATTCAGCTGGGAAAATGGATAAGATGCGTCTGCTGAATATTCTGATGCAACTGCGGAAGTGCTGTAACCATCCTTACCTGTTTGATGGTGCAAGCCCTCCTTACACCACAGACACGCATCTCATCACTAACAGTGGTAAAATGTTAGTTCTGGATAAACTGCTAGCAAAACTCAGAGAGCAAGGTGAGTACTGTTTGTGAACAGTAGTGATCTGAATGCTGACTGTAAGTAGAACTGTCTTTCAAAAATTGCATAGATTCATTCTTGTCTTTCCTCCAGTGAATGCATTCATTATTTTCACTGAGATTTTTCTGTAGATCTTAACACATGGAGAGAAGGAAGTCTTACAGGAATGATGACAAAAACTAATAATATGGAGAAGCAGAAGGAAAGGAAGAGCAGAGCATCCCTTCTGCTGTCTTTAAGAAAATTTTTGATGAGAGAATTAGTTTGTCTGTGCATATCAGTCATCAAATAATTACCTTACCATAGTTTTAAGTGTTCTGTTGCTTCAGCTGTGTATTTCTTCTGTATAAATTATCAAATAACCTGTCTTGAGGAGAAGTTAGATCAATACCAGAAAAGTAACATTGGAAGAAAAACTTATTTGAGTAGGTTAGGCATAGTACAGAATATTTCATATGAATTCTTACTCTTGCTCTATAGTAGGCTCTGTGATATGATTAATGTGAAAACATAAAACCGACGACAAAACCTTCTGTGTTCTTCTGTCAGGTTCCAGAGTTCTACTTTTTAGTCAGATGACTCGCTTACTGGATATTTTGGAAGACTATTGCATGTGGCGTGGATATGAGTACTGCCGACTTGATGGACAGACACCACATGAAGAAAGAGAGGTGAGAAAGTTCTGTATAAACAAGAAATGTCTGTTTTACATATTAGATTATTAAGCAGTTATTATTTACACATATATATATATTAAAGTAGCTACGTCACTGTTTAAAGCAAAAATGCTACAGTTTAAAAAGGCTGCTAAGGGAGTATGTTTTTCCTAACCAAAGTCCACAGTAAAGTAGGTTTCATTTGTTCCTCAACTAAATGAAAAATGTCATATTTTATGGACTCAGAATAGGTTTTTCCACCTGTGCAAACATAGAGTTTCTTCTATAAAAAAATTGGTTTTGGTATGAAAATTCTGTAAATTTCAAAGAAATTTCATTAAAAAGCCACCAACATATTGGAAGCTTGTTTGAAAACTCTGATACTTTAATGACACTTTTTTTCTTTTAGGAAGCAATAGACACATTTAATGCTCCCAACAGCAGTAAATTCATTTTCATGCTGAGCACCAGAGCTGGAGGTCTTGGAATTAATCTGGCAACTGCGGATGTGGTTATTCTCTATGATTCAGATTGGAACCCTCAAGTAGATCTGCAAGCCATGGTGAGTAACTCCCTAATACACATTTGTTTGTTAAAGTTGTCATTGTTCTATTTTATATAAGTGTTTCTAGAACTTGCGTTTTGTTATTTTTCTTTACTGTTTGTATTTAATACCAAGAAACTAAGGAATTGAATAAAAAGGCATGAACAGAATTGTGGAAGAAAGTGTAAGTTTTTCTCTGTAAATATTTGTCTTAATTATTTTTGTAATTGAGTAAGATTACTTTTGTCAAAATACTGTATCAATATTGTTTTTCCATAGAGTTATTCTTAATTCTGTCTTTCCAGAAGACAACAGTGAACAAATAACAGAGGACTGTTTCCAAAATAATAGCAAAGAATTAAAAACATGCAGCTTTATATTCCTCCCTTTTGGGAAACTTAGGCTTTTGCAACCCACCTTATTTCTGTGCAAGTGTAAAATCATTTGGTGGTGGTGCCAAGGAAAAGGAACCCTTATCTTTGAGTTAAACGTACTAAAATCTTCTCTTTGTGGGTGCTGAATATCAAAAAATGAAGTCTAATTTGTTTCGTGGAGAATAAAAATTGCATGGTCCTTCTTGCATGATTGGGGGGCGTAGGGTATTTGTTCTGTGGTTTGTATTTTTTTGGTTGTGTGTGGTGTTTGGTTTTTTTTTATGCACTTATTCACAGTAAATATTTGATGTGTTTAACTTGTCATTTTGATATGCATGCTGACTACCAATAGTAGACTGACTTCCTGGAAACTGATGAGTGTGATTTGTGAGCTTTAGTAGGATTTTCAGGGAGAAATTAATATTATGCAGGAGAGTAAAAGATTTAGCGACTCATGTTTAAAGGACAGTCAGAAAATCTTGGTACCAACAGCTTGGAGGCCAGTTGTTTAACTTTTTGTACTTAAGAGGATAAAAGAATATTTCTATTCTTGTTTTTCAGAGAGGATAAACACAAGTTTTGTTACAAATTAGTATGTTAATCATATAATCTCATTTGCTGTGTGTTGTACCTGTGCTACGTTAGCTGCATATGGCTGCTTTAATGTAGCTAGCTTGGGACAACTCCAGTATTGAAGCTGTGGCTGCATGGACTTTGCCCATGGAATTAATATGCTCAAGCCAGGGATGCCATAGTTTCAATACCTATGTCAAGTGAGAGAATTAGTTTGAAAGCAGTGCAGATGTGTGTATGCATATGTTGATTCTCCACTTCCCAGTTACAGTCTAGACAGACATTCACTTATCTTCATTTACAATGAGGTAGATGCATTTATTCCTATAGAATGACCCAAACTTAAAAGGTGTAATAGCCAGATATAAGTAAATATTACTATACTGGTTTTACGTTTTTGTATACTCTTGAATAAGCAAGGAACGAAGAACTATATGCTAGTTTCAGTCTGCTGTTACTGCAAGCTAACTGTCTATTGCTTGTGAGTTTTTGTTGCTGAACACTCATTGATTTATGTTTGTTAGGATCGTGCGCATCGTATTGGTCAAAAGAAACCAGTACGGGTGTTTCGACTAATCACTGATAATACTGTTGAAGAGAGGATTGTAGAAAGAGCTGAAATAAAACTGAGGCTGGACTCTATAGTTATACAACAAGGTATCAACTGCTATATATGTTTGTCTGCAACAGAATTGTTCAGTCCCTTAAAGTATGGGTTAAATAACTGTACAAATGTACAGTATGAGAGAAAGCAGGCCTTGTGTATAATAGTAGTACACTAAATCAACCTAAGAAGCTGTAATTTATAAGTTACTCTCTTGTTCAGCTGAAATTTTTGAAAAAAAAAAAATACCTGTTTTTTCTAAATAATGTGGGCAAAGACTTATACTAAGACTAGATGAGGAAAGCAAACTACAGCTGAATAGACGTTACTTGGTTTTTGTGGTATGTTAAAAAGGGGACAAAAAAAAAAAAAGTTCCACGACAGATAAAAATAATTATATAGATGTGCTTCTTACCACATTGAATTTACTGAACATTAAAACTGCTTTGTGTGTCTGTTTAGAAGCTCTTGGAAGAATAGTTTGTCAAAAACTAAGGTTCTCAAGCTAAGCTTTGAAGGTTGGTTGTACTTCCAAAAGGGTGGGCTACTGAAAGGCTGATGGTCAAAATTTTGACGGTCTGTAAAGAGACAAGATAGGATAAGTGAAAATTTGGGACAGAAATTAGAATTTAGGGAAAAATATTCAGAGATTTGGGTTGAAATCAATGAAGTGAGTGTTAAATATCTTAAGTACTTCTTAATGGTTATTTCAGAATTCTTTGTAATTTTTCATCCTGAAATAAGATTTTGATCTTAAAAGTTCAGCTAACTTTATAAGAATAAGATCTTAAATATAAAATTTGGATTATCTGAATGTGAAACAGTCTTTGTTATGGCTTGATCCAAACTTGTTATGTTTTAATTTTCCCTCAAGTTCCCGATTTCTGTTTATTTTCAGCTCAAGTGAAATGTGATTTTTTTTTTCTGTGTTGTTCTTCTGTTTTTACTTTCTTGTTCTGCCAGTGAACTAAAAAAAAAAAAATAAATCCACTGTTTGCGTGGTCTTACTAGAACTCTTGTATTATAACTTTCAACATGTTTCTTCTACTTTTAGGAAGGCTCATAGACCAACAGTCTAACAAACTGGCAAAAGATGAAATGCTGCAGATGATCCGGCATGGAGCCACACATGTTTTTGCTTCCAAAGACAGTGAGCTGACAGAAGAAGATATAACCACTATTTTAGAAAGAGGTGAAAAGAAGGTTAGAGAACAGTTTCGTATGGAATTCCAAATGTGTCAAACATTACATATGTATGAAGAAAATAGAAATTAAATCTGATTATGTAAATCTATTTTTATACCCAATTATTACTTTACTATTCATAAATATTCTAAAGGTTATGAAAGTTTTGAAGGAGTAGAATTAGTCAGTTATAATTATTTTCAAAGTTCAGACTGTGTGCACTATATCTTAAGCACTGTTTATTTTGTGGTCTTTTAGAAGGATGTAAATTTTACGCCAACAAGTCTAATAGACACAAAATCTTTATGGAATTTTATTAGAGAATAGGTAGCTCTGTAGAAAAAATGAACTACAATTTCAACTCCAGAGAGGTGGGTATAAATTTCATTTAAATTTAAAAGTTAAATCATACAGTTGTAGAGCCACATCCCAGCATAATAAGTTTAGTTTAATGGAGAGTCTTGGAGTTAGATTGTTCAAAATTGAAAAGCACTATGGGCGTCTCTCCTTACATGAAAAATATAAGTAAAAATTTAAAGCAGAAAAAGACATTGAGAATATTTTAATAATGATGAAAGCTCTTTTTTTTCAGAAAAAATAAAACAGCTTCAGTGAACCTAAAAGTATCTTCCTGTATTTTTAGACAGCTGAAATGAATGAACGCTTGCAGAAAATGGGCGAGAGCTCCTTACGAAATTTCACTATGGACACAGAGATGAGCTTATACAATTTCGAAGGTGAAGATTATAGAGAAAAACAAAAGGTAATTTTTCTTAAAATTCATTAAGAAAAATTCAAAAAAAAATTCATTAAGACTTTAGTTGAGAGGTGTGACCGTAAAGGCCATACTAGAAGTGTTATGGCTATAGAGGTTATTCTAGAGAAGTAATGAGCTACTGAAAAATTCACTTAGCTCTGCAGAAGCATCAGTATTCTGAATTTTTGTTAAATTAGCTTTCAGCTCCACTGTTTTCCTTCATGGTAAAATCTGATAATATTGCTCAAATTTTATCCTTTCTGCAGCAAAAATATTAGGTTGCATCCTACTCTACCGCTGCAGTCAGTATTATTTTACTGCCACATAACTGAGAGGAAAAACCAGGCCTGATAATGATTTTATATGCGGAACTTGGACTTAAGTCTTTTTTGCAGTGAAGGTTTTAGTCACAAGCATTAACGTGAACTGTTTGTACAATATTTTTACCTAATTAGAAGGATCATCTAAACAAAGAGGTGTTACTCAGGGTCCCACAATGATACCTCTGCATGTCTGTGTTTTGTGCAGGATGTACAGTCAAGATATCCTTAAGGTCTTATCTGGAATCAGATATGTAAACTCTTATTTGTTAACTACAGAATGCCCTTCTAACCCAGGTTTCTTATAAATTTTGAAGAAATATTTAGAAAAATAAAATATTTAATGAGAATATTGGAATGTGTGCATATATACATAAGATTCATTTTTCATGTGGATAATTTCATTACAAGAAGCCAGCTAAATACAGTGTAGTCTTGAAATATGCATTAACTTGATTTCAAATAATGTAGTTAAGATTAATTTGCTGGTAATGGATTATTTTTTTTTAGCCAGTGTTGTAGCCTCTGTAGAGTTATTCATAGTGATACTTAGAGGAGAAGCAATTCATTCCTATTGCAAGATATTGTAGAATTCAGAGCCCAAGTCCCCAGTCCATCCATTGTGTTTTGGTAGATGGAATCATAATCTTACTCAGGTGTCTGAAGTAAGTAGAATACTGTGAAAGGATCTATCCATGCCGCTGCACTGCCTTGCTTGTGTATTATCTTTTATGTTTTTAAATAAATATTATAATCAGCTATAATTTCTAGCTTATTTTTGAGCTCTGGTTTAGTATCCAAATTGTTGAGCACAACCATTGGATTTGCCATGCAAAAATACATTCCTGTTTTGCAGTGCCACACTAGTCATTATTTTTGGGATATTAGGAAAGCATACAGTTAGTTTAATATATTTTTATTTTATTCTGTGTGTAGCTGAGCATGATGGAATGGATAGAGCCTCCAAAACGAGAACGCAAGGCTAATTACGCAGTTGATGCTTATTTCAGAGAAGCCCTACGTGTTAGCGAACCGAAAGTCCCAAAGGTAAGAAGTTGACAAGTATGGAGGGGTTTTTTATGTTGTCCTTTTGCTCTTCTCTCCCATGTTGTGTCCCCTGCTGTCACCCTATACTGGTAATAAAATGAATGTATTTACAAAGTGATAGGTTGCCACTACTGCTGAATTATGGCAGTTTTAATTGCACAGAAATCAAGCATATATAATGTTAATGTATCTGTATATTTTTGAAGGCTCCACGACCTCCAAAACAGCCAAATATTCAGGATTTCCAGTTTTTCCCACCACGATTATTTGAACTTCTAGAAAAAGAAATTCTGTATTATCGTAAGACTATAGGATATAAGGTAATGCTTTTTTTTCTTCTGTTCAAATTAGTGAAATGTATTTGTGTTCCTCTTTGCAGATTTACTGCAACCTTGACAATAGCTAAATGAAGTAAATGAGACGGCAACTAAAAAAAAAAAGTATCATTCTGGTCTTATGTTTTGCAAAGTGCTTCTCATTGGGAAGGAAATGGCTTAAAGCCTATATTTCCCTGTTTGTGGAACAGAAAAAGTAATCTGTAATTCCTTCCTTCATTAAAAGTTTCATATCTGTGTAGCTTTGTGTTTTGTGGTGGGTTCCTAACAATAAAATAGAGTAGAAAAAAGAAACAGTTCTGATGCTTCATATACTTCTTCTCAACAACAAAAGTGTGATATGTGGTCTAAGGTGAGAAAACAATTTTTGGCTGATCACCTTCCAGGGTATGATTTTTTTTCGTTATAGCTTTTGTGTATCTTGTGCAGAAGGTAACTTAAGGTAATATTGAAGTTGACTTTGTATTGATATGAAGGTGAGTAAAGTTACATCAATTCTCCTTCTGTTTTGCTGGGATAGAAAATGTTTAAAGGCGTGAAGAAGTCTGAGTGTATTACTACTACAAAAAGAAAACCAGACAAGAGATTTATGTATGTGTGTCCCACTCCTCCCCATGCCTTAGCTGAATTTCTCTGTCTTCCCTGCTGACATTACTGGACAAGCAGTGAGGACGGATTCTGTTTCGATGTTGATTTTCATTAGTTGCACCAGTAAATCAATCCCAAATAGGTTCCCCTACTTCCAGACATGTAACTTACTCTAAAAACCCCCTTATTTCATGGCAGGTTGCAGCAAGAAAAAATCATGTATAAAATGTGTTGGAGAACATAAACTTGTCATACAAGGCAACAGATAGGAAATTGTTGTTGCAAAAGAGCAGAATTAATATTAGCAAAATATATTTCTAAGAAAAAGTGCAGAAGGTATCTTAATCTAGTTTGAAGCAGAAAGAATTTTATGTGGATGGCAGGATAGAATTAAGAATTAAATGAAGTATAATTAATTTAGGGAAATGAATTATTCAATTAGTGCTCCAGCAAATAAGGAGAGAACTGTTAATGTTGACAATATGCATGTAAAAAAAGAGATGTTTCAGTCCTGTTAATGAAGTCTGTCATACTGGATAGGTTGAACATGAATACGTGTTATATTGAAAACTTATTATGACTGTTTACTGGTGGTGAAAGTGATAAATATGATTAAGTTTGTTCTACTTTGAAAAGGAAATATAACTTTCCATCTGAAGAGAGTTTATTATTAAAACTGAAGACTACCATAAACAATATCAGAAGGTATCAAATGGATAGAGACCAAAGTTTATGTGTCAGTCTTAAGTTAAACCACCAAAGCCAAGGAAATTTCTTAGCCAGATGTTAAAAACAGCTCTTAACTTCCTTTACCTTTCGCTGTGGAAGTATGTAAGGTCTACAAAATCTTTACTGGATACTGGTTTCTGACTTGTTTGCTGTTGTGTGGTGTGGAATTGCAATATGCAGTTTAAAGGTCACAAATATTAAATTGGTGTCAGCGTGGAGAGGGACAGATAAAATGTTGCTAGGCCTTGTTTACATAATGTTGTCTGTCCCTTACTTTGGCAGTGAGCACAGCTTCATAGTAAACCTGACAGAACTTAGTATTTCACTGAAGTTACAAAACATTATAAACCCTTGGATGTAAGAGAGCAGATCCTTAGTCAATGAAAAGTGCTGCTGAAGTTAGTGAACCGCGACAGCTTATGCTACGTGAGGCTCTGCCTCTCACGATGTCCCTAAGTCATTGTGTGTAGAAGTGATGGGTACGGGGCATAACAAAATTACAACATAAATTTGACAAAATCTAGTCCTATTTTTGGGAGGAAGGGTTTAAGCAATAAGATTTGAATGTAGGTCAAACACATTTGGCAACTTGTACAGATCGGTGCTTTAATATTTAATAGTTGGAAAAAAAATGTATTTACTGTTTACATGTATTCTACAGGGTTTTTCACTGAAGTTTCTTAAAGAAAGAGTGAATAGGACCCTTTTGTTACTTATAGGTAAAGATAAACTGTATATTAAGAGCTTGTGAGACAAGAAGGAACAACCATAGATAAATGACAGTATTTGGTATATCACCTTGTCTTGGAGGATAATACTTTCAATTTTGCAACGGTTTTGTAGATAGTGATGAAAATATTCTGGTAGTTCTTTTAAAAAGTATTTTTATTGTGGTTTGTTTCTTCAGGATAGACAAGGTGTGGGGTGGTCGGGTTTTTTTGTTGTTGTTTGGGTTTTGGTTTTTTGTTTTGTTCTTTGACAACAAATGCTTAGTGGGTACAGACTCTATCAGTCCTGTGAGATCTAACGTGTGCTTATAAATTGTAAACCAAATTTGTTAGGAAAGTGTACAGTCTCTTTAATAACATTGCTGCACTACTGCTTATTGATACCCCTGATTTTAGGTCCCCAGAAATCCTGACCTTCCAAATGCAGCACAGGTACAAAAAGAGGAACAAAAGAAGATAGATGAGTCTATGCCTCTGAATACTGAAGAAACTGAAGAGAAAGAAAAGCTTCTAACACAGGTAAAATAAAAACAACTGAAATATTTCATCATGTATTTTTTACTAGCACAGAATATAAATACTAATAAAGATAAATATGCACAGGAAAGCTACACTGATCTTACAGAAAGAAGAAAGCATACAACGTGTAGTGCTTTTGCTTGGTTTTGTTTAGAGGGACCTTTCCTGTTCTTGAGCAAGTTTACATCTTTGTCAGCTGCTTCCTTGAATGCCTGCAATGTTTCTGAGGCAAGGACTTGCATAGTAGTTTCTCTACGCAGCAATACATGCAGAAATCCAATCAGTGGGTTTCTCATATATGCATCTACCTTGCATGGTTTTTTATCAAAAAGGGGTTGAATCAGAGAGGACAAGCCTCTGTCAACATATACGGTATTTACGCAGATGTATAAGACATGTCATGTCCATTAATTTTGTCCCAGTTGGGTTGTTAGGCATATTCTTTTTATACTGGGACTGAATCCCCCTGACTTGCTAGTTCCTTGACTTTTTGGACTGTTACCCTGCTGAGTAGGCTTATTAAAAGCTAATTGTTAAGGAGGAAGGTGTGTCTCAAAGTAACAGGATTTTTTTGATTTGGAAAATCTTCTCTATAAGAATGGGGTGTAGTGTACCTTGAGAAGAAATTTGCAAGGTCAAAATTTGACTATTAATTTCACCTGTTTAAAGCAGAGGAAATATTTAAGCTGGTGCTGATATGCATGTCAGTACTGCTGTTAATGATTAAAAAGAAATATTTGTATTGTGTATATTAGACTTCTTGTAAAGATGCTGTCTAATTGTGGAATGAGCTTATTCAGCTGTAGAACTGACACAGTTCCTTGTAAATGTGTTTCTGTGATGAAAGAAACTCAGTGCACTACAAATTGCTGTTCAGGCATGTGATTTTTCTCAGTTTTCTGTTTGTTCTTGATGTTTTCTCCTTTCCCTGTCTTGAAATTGTAATATCTCGTTCTTGGATGATGTTTTTGTACGTTGCATCTCACTTAACTGTTGCTCAGTTTTGGATTCATTTTTTTGGTACATAACAAATTTTCTGTTTGACAGTGCTATAGAGTTTCCAATTGATTGCGTCCTTTTTGGACTAGAGATTGTTTCTTCTTCTTTATGCTTTCATCCAGCTGTCTAGTTCAAGGTTTGTAAATGTCCAAAGTAGGAGCTCTTGCTTTAGATACTTGCACTGCTCTAAGAAGTTGTAATGATGCTTACATTGGTGCACCCTGTACTCTGAAGACATTTGTTGCTTCTATGTGCTGAAGGGTGACTTAAAATTACAGTAGCCTGTCATGGAGCTTGTTTCTTTGGAGAAATACCATGTAAAAAGTTTGAAGAGAAAGAAGAGTAAAGAGCTGTTACTAATGCATCTGGAGTCATGCACACAAATAACTCTTTAGACTTTTAATGATTCAGTAATAAACCCTGGATAATACAAGTTTATGGAAATCCTCAAAGACCATTAACCACTGTAATTATGTGACATCGCAGAGGCATTGCCAATTGAAGCAAATGATACATACACAAGACAAAATTTTGCAAAATGTTTGCCTTGTACCTAGTAATGCCTGCTTGATCTCTTGCTGCTTACAGGGTTTTACAAACTGGAATAAAAGAGATTTTAACCAGTTTATTAAAGCTAATGAGAAATATGGGCGTGACGATATAGACAATATTGCCCGTGAGGTGGAGGGAAAGTCACCTGAGGAGGTCATTGAGTATTCAGGTTTGTGATATTTTCAAATGTGTTTCTTAATCACGTGGTATCAGCATCATTTTTGCTACATGTTCTTTTAAAATTACAGGATGTAGAATTTGGATGTGTATAAGAATATTTCTTTTTTTTTTTTTTTAAAAAAGTACATAATGGCTCTTTTCAGAATACTTAATTTGGTTAAAAAGGATTAATTTGCAGCATATAAATATGCCTTTAGCTGCCTTTATCCTTCCTTAGTCAAAATTTAGAACGTGGCATAATTAATTTACTTGGACAACCTGTCTTATGGAATCATGAAGTTGCCTTATAATGGCAACGTGATTATGCTGGGAGTATATATGCTATTCTAGCTAGTACACTGTATCTGTTTTTTGTATTTACACAATGCTTTTTAATTTGTACATAATTCTTCCTCTTTCATCCTTGGATTTAATTTTACGAAATGCCTTCATAAAGTTTAACTTTGCAATCTTCTTCCTATAGTTTAAAAAGGAAGAGCTCCTCAAGAGTTCCCTTCAAAGTGTTGAGTTTATTTTGGATTGGCTAAAAGAAGTCACTGGAGAAGCCACAAATTACTGGCTTTTATAACAGATAGATTAAGTAGTTTCTGACCTTAGACAGCTAATGAAAACTGAAATATGAATGTTTCACTGCCAGACTAGCAGCTCTAATCTGTTTCACCATTGTTACCAAAAGCTATCCTTAAAAGTAATTTTTTTCAGAGTTTTACATGACTGCAATTAATTAAGTTGAATGTAGATTTTGTTACAGTTGTTACTAAACCTTTGCTTATAGTTAACTTTTAAAAACATTGAATAAAGGGTCTGTGCAAGTTTATTTCTTGGCTAGCATAGTAGAAGGGAGGGTATTAGCAAATCTTTTAAGATTTAATGGAATCACAAACTGCATTCTTTTTTTTTGCTGGAGAGCCTCAACTGAGTAAAGTAGTAGGAGTAGTGGAAAATATTTTATTTTACAAATTATGTTTTGCGTTTTTCAGCTGTGTTCTGGGAACGTTGTAATGAACTACAGGACATTGAGAGGATTATGGCTCAAATTGAACGAGGAGAGGCACGAATTCAACGGAGGATCAGTATCAAGAAAGCCCTGGATGCCAAAGTAATCACTGCAGGTTTTTTGTTTTCTGCAGCTCACTTCTTCCAAATTCCTTCAGAAAATGAATAGTTGGGAGTTCTGTCTTTTTATATAGCGTATATACAGTATACCATGTATCAGTAATCTACAGTAATATGTAACAAATCCTTGATGTAGTATTGTATGTTTAATAGTCCTTACTTTTGTTTTCCATTCAGATTGCAAGGTATAAAGCACCTTTTCATCAGTTGCGTATTCAGTATGGAACAAACAAAGGGAAAAATTACACAGAAGAGGAAGACAGATTCTTGATATGCATGTTGCACAAGATGGGCTTTGACAAAGAAAATGTGTATGAGGAGCTAAGACAGTGTGTGCGCAATGCTCCTCAGTTCAGATTTGACTGGTTTATCAAATCTAGAACTGCAATGGTAGGTATCAGTTACATGGACCAAGTCATTATATGAAGTATCTTGTTCCTTTTTTTCAAGTGCTGTCACATAAAATTTGGATTTGTGCCAGAATATTGTAGTCTAGGAAACAAGTGCTGAAAGAATAACTTGGGTTTTTATTCTCATTTCTAGTTTTTCGTAAAATAACTTTTTTCCTTAGTGCAGCAAACAACACAGCACAGCTGAAACAAACAGATTAGAAAACCTGCCAAGCTAAAGTCCTGTATTACCAAAGCGATTAATGCAGAGGTAGACTATCCTTACAAATATCCTTGTTACTTTTATTGCAAACTAAAAGTTTTACCCAACAATATCTCTTAAAATGTGACTGCTTTTCAGAATTATTGGACAATATAAAGACTGAAAACATCTGAATTATATACTGGGAGAAAAGAACAGCTTTTCTAGTAGTGGTACTTAATTTCTAAAAGCATGAGGAAACTTAGTGATTTGTGTAATAATTAATCATTGAAGTAATTGGTTTAAAATACACTTGTAGTTGTGAATAAGGATTATCACATGCAAGTCCTTAAATTTTTTTAGTTATACTTCTCTGAAGATTTTGTTCATAGTTGGAGAATATAGTACAAGTTTGATAGCAAGTAGTCTAGTACTCTGAGTTTTAGCTGGTGTTTTTTGTTTGTTTTGGTGTTTTGTTTGTTTTTTTTTTCCTTTCTCTGTCTGAAGAGCAGAGCTATTCTATTTTAATTTAGTTATTAGGTGGGAAGTGATAACACTAATAGAATCTTTGGTGGTTGCAAATCATAAGCTGTGTAGCTACCAACCTCAGAATATGAGACTCTCTTAATGATAAAAAGCTGTTATCTCTGGCCTGGAATTCTTGCTCAGACCTCCCCTGATTCAGTTGCTTTTTCTTATGAGTAAAATTCGTAAGTCTGTGTACGTTATGTAAGAAACACACACTTGGATTTTCATGTCAACGTGGGAAAAATGTACTACCAAATTTTTTTTATAATACTGGAAATAACTTCATCTTAGTCACTTGCGATGAGTGAGAGCTGGAACATTTTTCTTTGCTTGAATACAAAAGTATATTGGACATGGCTGATAGGAAAGAGGGGCGCACACTGCCCCTTATACAGCTGTTGTAGGTTCTTCCCATTGTCTTGTAAGCAAATTTCTAATTAGATGCTATGCCACAGTCCTGTAACTTAAATGTCATTTTGTATACAAATCTGGATTTTTTTTTTAGTAGTTTAGTCTAGCAATTGCAGAACCACTGTGCATTATTGTTTACTGTCTTCATTTCCTGGTCTCAGGGTTTGTTTATAAAATGTCCTTTCAGAGTTCTTGGTATTGCTTTAAAAATAAATAAAACATTAGGTAAAATATTTAAAATGTGTATTTGAACAGGTGGGAATATTTGCTTTTCCCAGTGCTACTTATAATTACGCAATATAATTTCTACTTGATATTTCAGCAATTAGTGTTTCTGGATAGTGCAGCAGTTAGCCCTTAATTAAAAAGAATTACAAGCTTTCCTTGCTGAAGTGTCTGTTTGAAGAAATACTGGATTTGAAAGTTACAATCCATGAAGAGAGAAACCTCCAATATTTAGTCTATTACGAAGTTTCTTTTAAGTTGTCTATGGAGGAATCCATTTAAGTATATCATAGAAATGGGTACTGGAAATTAAATACGTAGCTCAACATTTAATATTAGTTGACGTATAGTTAAGTCAGGGGTAGAGTTGAATATTCAGTTTGAATCTTTTGGCAGATCCTTATATTCAGTATAATTTTCTTTTTAAAGAGGATAGGAGTCCTTTGCTAAAGTATGGAAGTATGTTCTATGGTGTCTAATGCTGAAATTGAGGCTTTGGGAATATCATGAATCTTTTGGCTTATGTTTTCTCTTAAAATTCTATCTGTTAATACCAGTATTTTTAGTTTTTCTGCTATTACACACTTGAAAAAGAATAGTATGAAAACACGAAGCTAAAGTAATCTTTTACTTTCAACGGGCATTTAATTTTCTTAAATGTTTTAAATTGTCATGATAGGTATGGTTTAGTAGTTTATCACCGATTGGCAGTTATATATTTTATGTATTCAAATAGCCTGACATTTGTGGAAGTATTAATTTCTGTGGGTTCATTTTGCACTACCTTGGTAACTTTTATGAAGAAACATACTGGAAAGTCATTTAATATCAAGAAGAATGAACCAAGTATAGATACAAATCTTTATAAAGGGGTAAATAGTAAGTTCAGTGAAAGTGGATAAAACTTAGAATACTGAAATTCACATGTGATCATTCAAAGTGATGTGAAACAAGATAAAAAGGGCAGCATAATTCTGAAAAGGACTTATCAGACTCTTTGAGAAAACTTTGTGTTCTGCTAACCACTAGATGTCTCTTGAATTCCATAGAAGTAGCTACTTTATCTTCCATTTTCTTATTTCTGTTTCCTTCTGAAGATTTCTCTTTGGAAAACAAAAATTCTGCTTTGTTTATTTATTCCAAAACCAGATGGTTTACCCAAAATGTTAGTTTGCAGAGAGGTTGAGAGTGCCTAAAATTTGTAATTTTTTTTAACTTAAAATTTAAAGTTTAGTTATTACTGTTCTTTTATTTCTGTCCATGTAGGAAGAATGCAAAATATCATGGCAGTAGTGAATCATGTGTCTGTTTTCTGAAGTCATAAATTATGCATATTCTCTTTTACCTTTCTGCAAACCCTAACCAGTATAAGACAAATTACTCCTTTGTAAATACAGGAATATATGGGCCTGTTGACAGAGCTTAGGACTACTTTCACTCCCAAGTCAGCATCTCTGACTTCAGTCATGCAGAAGGTGATGGTTCAGTGCTTCCATCTTATTTATTGCAGTACTAGTCTTTATAGCTATGAACGGGTGAGCAAAGTACATCTTACCTCTTTCCATCCTAAAGAGAAAAGTATCAGGTCACACTGAATAAAATCTCATCTCTAAAGGTGCAAGGCATTTTAAACTCTTAAATGTATTTTTATAGTAATAAAATGGAATGGTTCAGTCCATATTGAAATTTCAGTAGCTCAATGCAGGCTTTATCATGCAAATTCTTTCTGATGGTAGGTGTAGAAGAAACCTGTGTGCATGTAACATCTTACTGTTAACTGCTTCTGTGATTTTCCAGAGAAGATTGTTTTTGAGTCTATCATCTGTCCACAGCATGTTGTTCTGGAGCAGTAGTCCATCTGGAAAGTCTAACCATGAACCTGTACACTTTAATAAATGTATGTATTTAGGCAACTATTTTTCACCAGGAAAGAGGATAATTTTTCTTAGTGCCTTAGGCAAATGGATCAAGGTTACTTCTTAGTCCGTTCTGATTAATTGCTTGTCTTGAATTTAACACAGACCACTTTCTCATATACTAGAAAAGGTCTAGCTGATTCTTATTATGGAGCAGCTTGTGATCAGTCTTTACCTACAGCTTCTAAGTCTTTGAGTGCATTGTACACCAATTTAAATGATGTAAAATGCTTCTGATGTATTGACAATCATCTTTCTACTTCTGCCTTCTACTTTTTATCATCTCTCTTCATCTATAGAGTGTAGGTTTTTGGGACAGAGGCTTTCTTTTGTTTTATGTTTGGGGATGCAATGTATGTTAGGAAGGCTTGCACTCAAGTTTTCTGAGGCTTGTTGCCTTTTTATCTAAAAACTGCTACGTGGGTGGAATTTGAGGGGTTTTATTGGTTGAAGCGAGAGTATTTTAACTCCAGCAGGACTGTCACATTCCAGGGCACAAGCATGGGACCCGCATTTATGGTTGAACCTGTACTGGAGGGGTTGGGGTTACTTTTACATGGATGTGGTAGAAATTACTCTGTCTGCAAAACTGTGTGCATGAGACTGGAATGTTTCCAGTAGGAAGTTGTAAAGAAAAATGTCCTGAAGAATTCTTTTGTGTGTGTGTTTAAAAAAAAAAAAAAATCATGTGGTGGGAGGATTCTCTGTGTCCATTCTAAATTACACAGGTTTAACCCAAGGCCATGGAGCACCTTCCTAGAGGAGCCTGTGGAATCTATAGAACTTAAAGAATGTGGTTAAGCTTGAGGGTATTAACATCTCAAAGATAAGTCATATGCTTGACTGTTTCAGAACGTTCAGGATCAAGAAAGCGTGCAGGCTGCATCATTATCCATCATGTAACATGATGGCTGAGGCAATATACAGGTTACAGATGCTGAGAAAATAGAGACTAATTCCTGGGCGAAAAGGTCACCTGTTCACTTCATTGCAAATAGCCCAGGTGTAGGTTAAGATTTATGCTACTAGGTAGTTCTAGGATAGCTTGTGGTTCAAAAATTGCTTCATTGAATTTAATAGAGATAAGACATATTTTTCCAGCTCTTTTTTTCCTCAGAATAAAGCTTCCTACTTTGAGTTGGAAAGAAAAGCCCATGGAATCACTGTTCTCTATGTACATAGAACATACTGAATAATTATAATAAAAATGAGTACTATTATGTATTTGATAAGAGATTTTTTTTTTGAGGTGGGATACAAGAAACTGTCCAAGTCCAATGAGTTCTATTAACCAAGCCAACTGTTATTAACTGCAATGCAGATACTTTTAGAGTTGTATTGGAAAAACTTTTTAATGTATAAATGACCTTATGGCTTCTAATCTTGATCACTTTCAGACGGCTTGGAAGTCTTCATGCTAGAAGCATTTAGGGCCTGCTACCTTTTGGGTGCTGTTTGACTAAAAATACAACACTGAGTTCATGATTTAAGTCTGGATAGATTTATTTTTTTTTGCCAGTTTGTAGCTGTACAGTGTCTTTTCACAAAAACACTAGTCTGCGTGCCACAGAAAAGTATTGCTTAAGATAGCTTTGATTCGCTTTCTCTCTGCTTTAAAGATGTACTTGAAGACCTCTTTTCCAAAAACCTGACACAGTATGCTGACAGGCTATAATTTGCTTCATCTAAACAAGATGAAAGATCAGATCAGTCTTGTCTGTATCTTCCAAATTGACACCCAATCCTGCACACTCCTTGTCAGAAAGTCGAATATTTCAGTAAATCTCTTACTGTTTGTAAAGAAGGTTACACTAAGGTAAAGACAGATGAACAATAGCTAAGCTAATCTTATTAGTACATGAATATTGAACGTTTTTGGAAAACTTCAGTATTTTCGAATTCAAGAATTTTGAATGTATTTGTGTAAGTGTGAGAATTTGTATAATTTATTTACAGAATTTGATGTTTTCTGTTTCCTTAGGAGTTTCAGAGACGCTGCAATACTCTCATATCATTAATAGAAAAAGAAAATATGGAAATTGAGGAAAAAGAAAGAGCTGAAAAGAAGAAAAGAGGAGCGAAAGTTACAGCAGTATGTTTAGCAGCACTTAATTTACTTCTAGTGGAGCAGAATTCAATTGCATTTTGTTAGAAAATGAAAAAGAAAATTGTAGCCACTGATTGTTTTACTATAAACCATTAGTTGTGAGATTAAACTGAAATGTCTATTCATAGCTCTCCTAGATTTTACCTAAGTATTCCCAATTCATAGTATTTGGGGGCTTTTTTTTGAGTCTTTTTTTTTTTTTTCCCAAGTAGCAGAGGAAGACTCTTTTCAAGAAAGATTTAGCACTGCCCTCTTTCTACCTATATATTTACATCATATGTTTGCTTTAATTTAATCTGATTGTTATTCCTCCCCTACATAGTAGTTTCTGGAAGAAGAAATGATAAGAAGTGCTTCTTTTTTGAAGAGTTGTCATCTTTAGAACAGAATAGTATATAAGTCAAGGTCCTGATCTTTTCATCCAATTCATGGTATGTGTGGTACCTGTACCATTGAGACCATGTAATGATTTGAAGAAGATAAAAAGTGTAGCAGAATTAAATATCTAAATCTGGCATTTTTGTTTGCCCTTCCATTATATCCTACAAAGCTGAATTGAAATATAGAATATATTAGGGTCACTTACCTTCTTTTTGAATAGTTAGTCATGTACTTCAAATTTTTTTAGTATAATGCCACTATTTCCTTGCATTTATAAAATAATGTTTTTATCTCTTTTTAGTCACAGAAGAGAAAAGCAGATTTGGCTACTGAGAACTCTGGAAAAAAAGATGCTAAGAAAGTGAAGTCGTGAACCTGAAGACTGAATGCTAAATGTAAAACTGCCACTTTCTTCTCTCCATCTACAAGTATTAATTGCCAACTTCTTGTATTCATGGTACTCTCCCCCAAATCCCATGGTTTAATTTTGCAAATTTTGTATACTTTACAAAGACTTTCTTTACCTAAAATGTGTAGCTTTATATCTTATGCATTCCAGTATTTTTGTGTACTGTATTTTGTGAGTTTCATGTCTTCGGCAAAATTCACTCAGTCCTTGTTTTTTTGAAGCTTGTGCTGAGGTTTTAGCTTTTATATGTTTTATATGCCGCTGCTTTGAAAGAAAACCTAGATTCTATAGCTGTATTATTGTTGTTTCATATTTTAAATTTATATGGCTGTTGGAAAATAAACTGACTTAATTATTTGAAGAGAAATATTCTTCACCTTTGTTTTTCCTACCCTCTCTCCCTTTTTTGCATAGCTACATTTAGAGTGAATGTTAAGGTTTGTATAATTGTGCCTTCATCATCGATCAGATTTTTTTTTTTTTCAGAGGAGTACTTAGATAGGATCAGGAGCATGACAGAACAAAAAAATCTAATTAGACTGACATCCTTGTTTGCTGTCAGCATTAGATTGACATTTTTCTCTGAAATGTTCGGAAGGAAAGCCAGCAAATACTTATACTTTTTTTTGTTGTTGTCTTCATCACTGGTTTCTGCTGGGCTTCATATGTGCTTAAACACAGGGTGAGGTGTTTTTCAGAATGACCTCTAGATGAAAACTTTGTTGTGCCTAATAAACTGAAGTAGTCAACTAACAGCTTCTTCAACAACAAAAAGATTCATCTTCTGATGAATTTTTGGTAAGCTGCTCAGCTATGCTGCCTTATGCTAAAAAATCTTTGTTGCTCTAATTATCTCTGCTAACTTTCTGCTTTTACCATTGATTCAACATGTCAGTCAGAAGCAATGGGGATATGTTATGGAGTGCTCCTTTTTTGAATTTCTATTTTAATGAAGGGATGAAAGTGTTGGATGTATGATTTTTTGACTTTGCAAGAATGGCCTTTATTAAGCAGGTTCATAGTTTCTGCTCACCTTGGAGTTTCTGCCTTTCCTGGATCAGTAGAACAGTGACTGTGACATCTCATGTTTTACTTTAATCTTCTGTCTCTGATCTGGTGTTTAGTATGGACCTTGCTACAGTGAGACATGCCCTCATAATGTCAAGTCTAGATTAATGCAGTGTGCTTTACATGGTACTTCCCTTGAAGACTACTTGTAAATTTCTTCTAGTGTGGTTTGCTTCCTTCTGTGGTTTGAGGTGTTTTGAGATGAAAAAAACCAAACTTCTTTATACTCTTCGTATTTCATGCTTTATATTGGCTACCTTCTTCTGTATTTGTAAAATTCAGGACTTTATAAAAAGTTCTTGAGTCTTTGGACAGAGTTCTGCCCATATTCTTTTATGTCATTTAAAATATATTGGAATGTCTTTGAAGTTTTCTGGGGTTAATCTCTGTAAGCTTGATGAGTAATTTCCAGCCTTTCTTGATAAGTCTGTGTTTAAGTTTGAGGCAAAATGGGTGTGATGACTTGGCTGAGCATTTGGAAAGATTAATAATTTGATTCCATATTTTGGAATGGAGCTTTTGTGTGAGGACCAAGTTATTAATTATTTCACTGGGCTTTTATTTGTAGGACTTGTAGTGTAAAAAAGGGTATTCATCTGTTGAGATTCATCTGAACCAGAGTTGTGAGCTACATCTAATAATGATGGGGCACAACTTTCAGACAGAAGGTTAGTAATGGGTGTCAATGCATGCTTTTACATGAGCATGCAACCTAGATGGGGTAGGTCTGCTCAGAAAAGGGTATCTCTTCAAATGATATTTTTGGTATTGGACTAGTTGACATCGTGCTTTATCCTTGGGAGAAGGACATCCCATGTAATTGTGGGCTGGAAAAAGGCTGTGCAGCTACATACATATATAATCACAAATTGCTGGAGCATTGCTATTAATAGAGAGAGGAAGATGCCTTATTTACATTTGCTTTTTGGCTCCCATGTCACTCAGTAAGTTTATGACCTGAAATTATAAAAACAAGTAAAAAGAGGAGGGAAATAAAGGCTGGAAGAGCCAATTGAATTTTTACTGAATTACATGGCTAAGTCTAGACCTTATTCCATTGCTCCTATTTAGCATTGGGTAAATATTTTAACGTTTTAAGTCTTGAAATAAGTGTATTCTGGTTTTGTTTATTGTAGATTAGCTTTGTTTGACTTGCATGTTTTTGTGTATCCAGTTTCTTTGTGTTGCAAAGTGTATGAAAAGTCTTAAAATGGTAATGTCTCAACGTGTTCTTTTATGCAGATTTCTTGCTTTGAGTTACCACTTGAGTTAATGTTCACTTTTCTCCTCCTTCAGTGACATGATATACTAGCTATATAGCAAAAGATCATACAATTGTTCTTCCAGATATTATCCTCTTGTTCAGACAGCTTCTCTGAAGAATGATAGATGCTCTCAGGAACTATCTGTTATCTCTTGCAGTCTGTAGTTCCTAGTTAAACTGAATGTGCTGTTGAACAACAGTCCTTGAGAGCACTTGTACACTATATACTAGTTCCTCAGCATATTGAGTCTTTCCATCCATCATGTCCCACAGTGATAACTAAAGAAAATTGCTAACAGCTGCTGGTCAGGATTAAAGTAAAATGGATCTTTCTTTTCCTTTTTCATTCTTCTAGTTGCAGGTATACACACAGTATGTGCCTAGCAGTATCTAAATGATATGCTGCTGTGACTCAAAATTAGATGGACTGAAGTAAAAGAATCTTCCTACTTTTTACTACTGTTTTCTTAGGTGAGGAATACTGTTTGTAATAAATTTGTAAACACTGAAGGTGATGTGATACAAAACTTCTGAGAAGTCCAGGCCTGTAGGCAGTTTGATTGCAAAAAAAATTACATGTTATAAAATTTTGAAAATAACTTATTGCTTCCTTTTGAGTAGACAACTAAAATTTGATTGTGTTAGCATTAGGCTTGAAGAAAGAAAAAGTATTCATCTAGCACCTTTCACCCATCAGGCAATGCATGTAACATCCTGGGAGAGGTCACAACTTTTGTGTTCTTTTTCTTTTCCCATCTTCATCGCTTTCAAATTATCAGTCCTTTTATTTTTGAGTTATGTTAGTGATGACAATAAAAAAGCCACATAACTGACCATCTTCATTATATTTAATTTCAATTTATTGTAATGACATAGAGAAGGAATGAAACTTTCTCCTTGCTGGTAGTATTAGACCATCTTTAGATGCTGTTTGCACAAGTAGTGTTACTATACTAAAATATTAAGTAAGAATTTTTTCTTGTAGATTAGCATTGCTTGTTTGATTTAGTGTTAATGCTGGTTATGGTTTAGAAATAATCTAGCTTTTGCTTTTTGAGATCATAAGCAAGGAGTACAGTATACAGAAATTAATCGGAATCTTTCTGAATGCCTGATGGAAGTAACTTCCTGCAGGGCCTGCATTTGCTGCTGTGCACTGTTGTGATACAGGTGCTTTCTGTGCATGCCTCCTCCCCAGGTTCAGTGGAGGGATTAAGTACTTTCAGTGATCACAAATAAATGCGAAAGCTAAAAAATGTGGGCCTTACAGGTTGAAAAAGCGTATGGAATTTTGCAGTCACCAGCGGCTTATGTGAATGTGAAGTGACATGGTGCAGACATTGGCACTTGTGATGTTGGAAGGGATTGATCACTGACCGTGGTTCCGATCTGGTTAAGATAGCTTGACAGCTGTAACATTTTACTTAAGTTTATCTAGTCCATCTACTTAGCTTCAAGCATGTATGTAAATGCTTTCATGGGTCACAGTTATAATGTTTGATATGTTCTTTTTCTGAAAGGGTTAAAGTTGAACTTGGTTTGCATATTTTGAAATGTAATGTACTCTTTAATTGCATTTGCATGATATCCATCCTTTCATAAGAGCCTTAATAGGAGTAATATTTGCTGCCTCAAAGGTATGTCTGTATTGTGTTGTTGAAAGGTAACTTCTGAACTTTTTCAAATTGAGATTCGTTTCTTAAGTTGTACATATATGAAAATAAAAATTAATACAAACCTGATGTGTTCTGGTAATTATATTTCTGGTACAGATGGGTCTGTGCACTTGGAAACTGTTCAAAATAGTTTGATTTGTTTTTGTTGCTGTTGTACCTTTCATAACCTTCAGGCTATGGTAGCTGAATGTAAGGGGGGGGGGTGTGGCTCTTGCCACATCTGCTTTCAGACTTTCTGATTTCCTGTAATCTAAAATAAAATGCTAGTAGTGCCTGTATTTTTGTGACAGCCTTGCCTGTGTTGTCTCTTAGTATGGTATGATACAATGTATGTTGATCCTGTATTAAAGTATATTACTGTTTTTCTGTTATTCCATACCTCCGGTGTGTTACTAAAATAAAATACTTTGGAGCTTAGGTCTACGGGACATAGAGTGGTAGGGACCAGGAATTTTGTTATTGCAGCTGTTGATCACTAGTAGACATGCTAGATACTCTGCTTGGTGAGGTGCATACCCTAAATGAATGCTTGGTTTTCCACTTTTTTCTTGGGACAACCCCCTAGAAAAAAAAGGAGAGACAGTAAGGAGCCCTGGAAAACCAGTTTATCCTGGCATTGGCTGGTAGCAATTCTGTCTGCTTCACAGTGACTTTTGATAGACCTCGCTCATTTTCAGGTGAGGCACCTAGACCAGGAAGAAGGAGCTGGGAATAGAGATGTGAATCACCTTACCTTGTCCTCAGTAGCAGGCCAAAACAATAGTTGGGTTCACTACAAGAACTATAGTTCTTCCAGACAGCTTTCTGTAGTGCTAGGCTGAGCATGATCCCATAGCTAGTTTCTACTTCTTACATACTCTCTGTGGCAGTCTACCAGCAGTAAAGTCTGCTGTTGTCAAGATTTTGTTGGAAGCAGTACCTGCCAACTCTTCTGGAGAAGACTGTCTTCAAACATCAGAACTTTTAATGGGAACAGTGATCCTGTCTGCAGAGCTACCTGGTAGCTGTGGAGTTTGCAGTAGCGTTTGGTATTGTCATGTGATGATCATTCTCGCTGTATGCATTCAGTGTTTTGGGGAAAGTTGGTCTATAGACACCTTTTTCAGGGAAGAGACCTTCTTATTTCTACATGACATTTTCTTGCCCGAAGAAAACCGGCTGAAAAGTCATCTTCATTTATCTTCTCATTTGTTAATTAGGTGGACACTGCTGAAGGCCGCAAAAACTTAAATTCCACTCAGCACTTTGGTAAATGGCATTCATCATGTGTCTTCTTTCTCTAGCTTAACAGGTGGATATTCCTCAGGAGAGCACTTCACAGTGAGGGTTTAGAGTCCACTAAGGCTTGTGTTA